CACCATAGTACGGTGTAAGAATTCAGCACCTTTTTCTTTTCCGGTCTTCAGAGACCCAGACTCTACCAGGGGAGAGGATTGTGTGCAGACGCATGCACCTACTGCAGGTTTCTGGCGGCCGAAGGACAGATATGAAGATATGCTGTGTGTGTAACACGTCTCTGTCTGTACATGAGCATTTAAGCAAGGCGGGAAAGCAGGCACAGAAATCGCACTGTGTACATTTCAGCTAATTAATGCTAAAAGTCTGATTACTAGGTTCCAGTCTCTACACTAAGCAGTGTTTCTCAACCTTTTTACTCAAGTGTCATCCCCCCAAAAAAGAGTTTTATAGACAGTGTCCTCTATTTGGGGATGTATATCTGTGCCTCAAATACAAAGAGTACATTTTTGCCAATAACAGAGTTTGGGTCACAAAAACAGAGAGACCCTGAGGTATAACAGGGACCCTTTGTTGAGATGAGGGCAGGGAGCCCTGATTTTTAATTATGCCCGAAGTACTTCTGATCGTGGTAAATACATTCTTTTCTTTTTTTAATGAATAACTACTTTATTTATTATCTTCCCTTTGATAGGTGAAAAAGAAAAGAAAAATACAATAGAACTAAGTCAAATTTGGGGTCACTGAGTGTTTGTAGTTTTCCCGTCAAACAGGAGAACCCTTGCTGTGAATTCTAAAAGTATTTAATAGATGTGCTAGAAAAAGATTTCATTTTTCTGTGGGGCGGTAAGTCTGACCAAAGCCTTTCACAGAAAGAGTATGCAGCGTCCACTAAACATCCTGCCTTGTTTTCCAGTCTAAATTATCTTCCAAGAATACTCAGGTTTGTTTACATTACTTACCAGTCCTATGTTGGTCTTAAAAGAAAAAAAATCTCAGCTCCAGGTATAGAGGAAAATCACTGTTTGGTTAAAATGAGATTCGGAGTTGGATTTGTTTTATTTGTTTTATATGAAGGAAAAAAATGAGATATTTTCATTTATACCAAGGCAGCACCTTTTGCTTTTAGAGCTGTATTTCCATTTCAGGCAATTCATGGGTACTCTGAATGTTGATTAAAAAAAAAAAAACTTGGCTGTCTTTGTCTAGTGTTAATTAGTACAAAGATAACCTTATTTTCAAAAAAAAAAAAGAACACTGTTTTCAAACAGTCTCCAAGTGTTTTACTAAAAATTACTATGTATGTTAAAAGTAACATGCTCGCTATAAAACATTCAAACAATTCAAAGGCAGATAAAGTAGAAAAACAAAGTCTCCACTTAACTATCCCGTAATAGGTGACTATTCTGAAAACACTGTGTTAAAAAGGGGGAATCGTATGTCTTCAACCTCTAGATGGCAGTAAGTCAAGAAAAGATACTTTTAAAAGCCTTTAAAACTTCATAATTAAACACATACACAATTCATTATAAGCTTCTCTCACAAAAACACGCAAAAACAGTGAGAAAATGGAAGAAATAATAATCTCAGTAACTGAAGCCAAAGAAGCATTTTTTTTTTTTTAAAAAAAGGAGATAATTTAAAAACGTGTCGTTCTCACCTTCAAATAAAAGGTTACAGACTAACATCAGTAAGTAGCTGCCTCTGGAAGGTCAAGCAATCATCTGGTTTTAGTAAAATCTAAAATATCGCAGAACACTAACAACAAAACACATAGAAAACTCAAATGAAAACCAGAGTCAGCAGACAAGAACAGGACAGACAAAACGGCAGACAAGCCGTTTTCCTCCCCGCAGTTGGCCCCAGTCACCGGGAACAGCAGAGCTGGTCCCACACCTGAGTGGTGAGGTTGTAGACACCCCTCTCGGCGGTGGCTGCAACAGCAGCTACAAACAGAATGCACATCTGTCCGGCAACTGGGACGGACAAAGAAAGTACAGAATTCCCATGAAGGGTCTTGGCTGATCTGACGCTGCCCTCGGCAGACAGGAAACCTGAGGCCATCAATCCAGCTAAATGACACACAGAAATCACCAAAGGGAGCTCTGGAGAGAGGCCACAGACCCTTGCCCAAGCCAGAAACTCAATTAACGAAGGCAGAGCCTCCTTTTGCATTTTTCAAAAGAGAGCGGGTGCATGTATGTGTGCAGATGAGTGCAAGCGGATCTGTGTGCCCACACACATGCACGACCTTTCTAGAAGAGTGGCTTCTGAGAACTCAGGACGAATTTGGACACAGTGGAAAAGTTGCTCCATCACACGATAGAGATTCCTGGAACAAATCTTCTTAGCATACACCAGTGAGCAACACAGGCAAACATGAAGGTGATACTTTAGTAGAGGCCGATAAGAAACAAGATAAATAAAATATGTAATGTGGTAAAAGTTGGTAAGTGCATGGAGAAAAACAAAGCAGAAAAAGGGACAGGGAATACAGAGAGGGGGGAGTTGTATATTCAGAAGGTGGACAGGAAAAGGCCTGGCTGAGAAAGTAATACCTGAGTAGACCCGAAGAGAGGTAAGGACCAAGTATAAGATGTCCATAAAAATAGGCTTAAGGCAGTTGAAGTGCAGACTAAGATATTAATTCCATGATATGAACGAGAAATTCAAAACTAACTTGACCCACCAAATGCCCCATCCCTACCCTCTCATAAATTACTGTAGCAGCTCAGAGAGACAAGTGAACAGGAAAACCTCACACAGGAGGAGCAGAGCAAGGGAGTCTACTCAGAAATCGCCTGGGCTTACACAGTTAACACAGCTGATTTGCCGACTGGGGGCCTCGGAGACACACGTCACCATGCTGCCTTACTCTTCACCTTGCTTGCTTGTACGAGAGGGTCCTTCAGGGACTCTAACCCTCTGTCACCTCTGCTGTGGTCAGGCATCTCAGAGCAGCAGCTTGACTAAACCTAGGTCGGTAGCTGCATGTCCCAGACAACTGGGGGGCACAGGGCACATGTTGTTGGGCCTGTAGCATGACAGAGAACAGGGGAAGTGCGTAAGATCATAATCAAAGGGGAGGAGAGAGCTGATTATTAGAAAATGAAGGAGAAGGCAGGGATTATACTAGGACTTTGGGCCCAAGGCAAATGGGTCAAGAATGATTTCTGAGGATTTGGATCAAATTAGAAGAAAGCAACAGAGTACAATATCCATTCTGGTTGGCTGGGGTCGGCAGAACAAGGGAACAAGAGTCCCCAAGTACAAAAAGGACCCTGAGATATGGGTACTGCTGAAAAAGACCAGGTACTGAGACCTATCAAACAGGTGTGAGAACCAAAGCCAAAGGAGACACAGGAGCTGGAGCTCAGAGAGGCAGGCAGGCGGCAGAATACAGGGATCAGGTACAAACCTGTTCTAGGCTGTCATACAACCACAGTGGGTTTGTAAATCCAAGGAGACTAAGTGCCTGCAGCCCGTCCTCACATAAGCATCTTGCCAGCAGTGAAGGAGCTACGGGGGCATATCCCCTTCACCAAGAGGCTGGGCTCTGCTGGTACCTGTGACTGAGGATCACAGCCAGGGCACATCTGTCCTTTCACAGCTACTTGCATCTGCCTCACAGATGATATTTTCTTGCTCTCCCCCACCCCTGCTCACACACACTGTCTCTCTCCCTCCCCCCACCCCTAAACTTTAACTCCTAAAGTGTTTATAATTCAGGAAGGAATAATTTTGTAAAACCTCCCTTCATCTCCTTCCTATCACAGCCCAGATGCCACCTAGCTGAGGAGCTGTCCCTGACCCACACCCCCACATAATAAATGTTTAGCACAGCGATAGCGCAGGCACCTGCTGGAGAGCAGCCCTCATCTCCGGACCAGCCTTCTGGCACGATCTACATCACAGGAAACAAGAGGACTGCAGCTTTCAGTTACAAAGGTGGACACTTAATCCTCTTTAGAAAAGAAATCAGTATCTATCCTGAAGTCCTTGTTAAATTTCCTACCCATTAAAATTTGAGGTAGGATAGTCACGGAATTGCCAAGAACCTTTAAATCCTGTATTTCTAAACAGTATAAGGATAAAGACAGATTTCAACTATCATAATCCCAGTTCTTGAATGTGGCATAATTTCCAGATTTTTGGCAGGTATCAGATATGAAGTTAATTTATATAAAATGGCACAGCGAGAAAAACTGGCAATCTGATCCAATACTGGCCAGATCAGATACTAAATAATTTTTCACATCCTATATTCCAGTAAAGTGCAACCGGTATTATAGAAAAACAGGAGTAAAGAAATGTTGCAATAAAAATTAAATCTACTTCATTCTCTAAAGAAAAACAGTTCAACTGTCAACACTTTTTAGGGGTTCCACCTAAAAGGGCCTCTCTTGTATTCTGATGAAAATCTGTCAAGTGTTAACTGTGAAGCAAGCTCGGTTAAGGAAAGAAGCCCATCTCCAAACACAAGTCAGTGCGCTTCAGATGCAGAAGTCAAGAAACAGCCATTACCTTTATCATCCATTTCTGTGTACGGCAACAATTTAATGACATTGTAAAAAAATTTAACAAGGAAACAGTTTCCTTCTAACTGTTAAACTTACAACTAACTGCATCAAGGAGTAAGTACATGTTCCACCATGAATTGTAACTTCATGGTGTTACAATTCATGGTGGAAAGTTTGGCTTTCATAAAGACTGCCTTCCCCTCACAGATGCTGACAGATGCCTTCCCCTGCTGATGCCGCCCTGGTGTGCAGAACTGGACACGCAGCCCCACCACGGCAAACAGGAGAGTGCTCATCTTCTGCCCACGCTGCAGTCTTCCCCAAATGTCCATGTTAATATTTTTGCTGAGCCCACTGGATCTTTTAACTTATGACACCACTTTATTTCATTTATTTCTAGTTGGATTCAGGTTTTTGTGGAACAAGCACGGTATGAACAAACTACAATACTTAATTTTAAAATGCATTTAAAAATAAAGATGTGACCGTAGCTCTTTATCACCCTGATTCGTTCTTCCCATCACCCCACACTAATGAACACAAAATAAAAGTGTTCAGTAACTGGTAAAAGTCTGGAAAGGTCCCGCTCACATACTCACCGGGAGTAATGGTCTCCAGCGTATCAGAACTGACCTTCCGAGTACTGGTACAGTGATGGAGGGTTGACCCCGAAAACACCAAGTAAAACACTACATCATCCTCAACTTTGTCCTCTTCAGCGAGCAGTACAGTGACAACACAATCGCCCTGGGGAGAGAAAGGTGGAGCAAGGCTGCGTTAGTCAGGGTCCTCTTGCAAGACAGCCTTTACTAACCTTCCACTTTAAGGGAAAATCAAATGTATCATTAAACTGTGCCACATTCTAGGAGGTTTATACAAATACAAACACTGACTGAGCACTGACATACCAGGAAGAATTCTAGGCACTGAGAATACAAAATGGCCCCCAAATAAGATTTCTGTCCTCTTTAAAGCTTACATTTTATTGCAGGTGGTTCAATAAACAAGCAAAGTAACAAGATAGCAGATGGTATATTTACTTGATGAATGAGGGGAAGAGGGAGAACTCAGGGAAAACCCAATAAAGAGTCAGAGGATGGGGGAAGTATACTTATGAGTGACAGCCTAGACTCAGAATTTCCTTAACTCTGTGTTCCAGTTGCAGCAATAATTCCCTAGATTCTACACCCTAGAAAGCCACGCTAATCCACCCCTTCTCCAGCGAGGGGAGGGGGGCGCCTCTGACAGAGCTGGCCTGGCAATGGTGCGGTGCAGAGAGCACACTCTGGGGCACACACATGACGGTGATACCCTCTGTCCCCACAGCTGACACTGGGTGGCAGAAAGGAGATCTACAGTCCTGAGTACACAAACTACAGAGTGCTCGTGTACTATATTTATTGATTATTGTATTAGTTTCCACAGGAACAGCAGTAAACCTATTTTTGTCCACCAATGATAATATTCTTAATCTCTCAGGATGGGAGGGATGCTTTTTCTCACAATTTGCATTTCCTGACCATCTGGAATCCCTACTCCCCCCCTCCTTTATCCTCCCTGCCACTAAACCCTTGGAATCCAGCAAAAATGTTGGGCCAGTAACTTTGCCCATGGCTCTGCAATTATTTGGAAATATTCTTTTAGTGGTTTTCTATGTTAATTTTTTAATTGAATAGTCCTAACTACCATTCTCCCAATCATAAACGTCATGTAATTCTTGTAACCATAAACGAAACATTTTAAAGTAATGAGGTTTAGTACTGTGGAAATCTTAATAATGCACTATGGAGAAACCAATGTAGAGGAAGCCATGCCATTTTAGCACTAAGTCGGGAGGGAATTCTCATTACTTACAGGGTGCCTTTCCCTGTCCATTTCAGCAACAAGGGAGCTAGGCCAGTAAGAGAACCATGCCACCCTGTGGCCACCACTTACTCAGCCCGGATGCATAATCAAGCAGCAGGTAGTGTTTTACCGAACGCTGAAAACAGAACATCTTCCAGTCAAACCCAGGATCAAGTCTAATAACAAATGCTCCAATAGGCTGATTGTGGAAACAAAGTTCAAAATATCTCCCAAAGCCCTGTACGCGCGCGGTAGGCGCTTACATCTGCTGAATGCAGCATGGACGGAGTCAGGCTGAATGGCACAGAGGCTGTAACTCACGACAAACGCTGAACTGGAAAGCTCCAAAGCACCCTCACATGAGGAAGAGCACAGAATTTGGTCATTCCAGTTATACTTCAGATTTGTACAAAAGTCCCTTTCTTGAAAACATTTTTGAAAAACTTAAGCTGGTAAAAATTTTTACTATCCTTTGGCATGAGAAACCATGACCTTGAGAAATGAGCTCTTCTCCTGCACAAGTCTGCAGCACAGGAGAAAAGCCCATTTCTCAAGGTACTGAAATACCATTACGACCTGACAAAGAAGTGTCATCACAGTTCTAAGGTGTCATCCTATGGAGCACAGACAGGCTGACCTGTATGACCTGTGGGCCAAATCCCGCCCTCTGCTTGTTTTCCTGTGGCTCACAGCAGGGAAAGGATTTCGCATTTTTGAATGTTTGGGGAAAAACCAAAATAGAAGTACCTTTAATGTGCTAATATTATGAAGCATTCAGATTTCAGTGTTAATAGATAAAGTTTTATTGACAATCACAGTCACCCCCATTTGCTCACACAGTGTCTATGGTTAGAATGAGCAAGACAGAGCACAGGTGAGTGGTTGCCACAGAGACTGTATGGCCCTCAACGTAAATTATATACAATGTGGACTTTTACAGAAAAAAAGATGTTTTTTCACTCAGGTATCTAACCTAGAATTCTAAGAATAAATCTTTCTTTTTTAGATCAAGGATATTCTCTCAAGGGCTTTCTTTTAATTGGGGGTAGGGGAAACGGCTAATAAGCAAGTGAAATCCTTTTAACAAAGTTCTCAACATCAACCTCTTTTTTCACTCCCAAGACAAAAGTAAGTTTCAAATTGCTTTCATAGCTCTGTTCAATAGTTTCTTTCTTTCTTTCTTTCTTTTTTTTTTTACATTAAGTCAAACTACCCAAAGTACGAAGTACAACAGAACAGGAACACAGAAGGCCCAATCACTTTAAAGTCACTTGAGATTTAGATTCCAGAGGCACTTGGAATCAAAGTACCTCTTTTCCCTGGAGAATACTCTGCGTTCCGGTAAGGCCGCTATGAGCAAACAACAAAAATGATTCCCCTGCATTTCCCTCACATGACTCTAATTTTTACTGCACAAGTGCCAGACACCTAGTATTACTTGGGCTGGCCTTGAAAGATTAAGCACGCAGAGCGGTGATTAAAGAATAAAAATGAAAAACAGAGCTAAGTAATAAGTTTTGCCGAGGCAGTTGCACTGATCACACCCTCCTTGGGGGATACCCTTGGTGAATGATTCCTCTTCCCAAAGGAGGGACCGGCCCAACACAACACACGGGTAAATCAATCTGACGGCCCAGTTAAAAAGCCTGTCCTGTTTCTAACCACAACAGCTAAACTTATTAACAAGGGCGAGTTTCAAGATGCTGTTGATTAAAATTTTAGTCTGATCCAACCCCAGATGAGAATGCATCTACATCTCTATTTCCTCAATAATCTAACCTCAGGAAACAGCGTGCTATCCTTACAAAGATGACTCATGTTTCCTCACTAATGAGAAATGTATCCTTGAACCTGGCAATTTTGTCAGGGTTTGATTAGTTTTGCTGACAGGTGACACAAAACAAACAAAAGAAAATCTACATTGGGCCCCATCTTATAAGTACAGGTGATCCCCAAAATAGAACACTGTAGCCCTAAATGCCACCAATCAATTACTTACTTGCCAGTAAAAACAGAGCTTTAAATGGTTGCCATGGTCTCAGTTTTCCCAACTTTAACTCGCTTATATGACACAATATATATTGTATTAATAATACTATAGTCACCTTTATATATACTTGTTAATAAGCGAAAAGAAATTTTTTCCACTTAATATATCTAAACTAGAAATTCTAGGAATAGGCCTTCCTTTCTTAGATTGAGGATTTCTTCTTGCCAGGAGGCCCAACTTCCCACTGGCAGACCCTCTGTGCTCCAAGATGCTAGTTATGTCTGAGGCCTTCCCTTAGCTGGGGATGGTACTTAGTGAGGGGTAAATAAAATGGTGAAGAGAAAGGCATCCAAGGGATGGGAGACAGTGAACCACACACAGTGCAGGGGTGGGCGGAAGAGAGAATACCCGGGACACAAGATGTTAGACGGAGATGAGGGAAACCAGACAGCAAGTTTTGTGAGAGGAAGGTTAACTGAAGGGACAGCACTGACGTCTCAGATGGCAAGACAGTGCCACCCTCAGGTGTTGAGGGTGGACCCCCATGAGCGGCAGCATAATTGCAGTGGGACGCAGGACCTGGCCTGCACAGGGTGCTGAGAGGTCATCTTCGTGTTTTCAGGGATTCCGAAAGCCAGTTGGTAAAGGTGGCCATCATTTAAAATTAAATTACATAAGCTTACAATTAGACTGTTGAATACAAAAGTAATAAATACTCCGAACTCGTCACTTCTTCATGACTCTAGCACAGCTGTTGCATCTGCGCAGCAGGGGTTCTGTTACAATGGCGCACTGCCGCACATCTTCTACCAGCGAGCATCTCTGCCTTCAGTGATGTGGCATCAGCAGCCTGACATCAGCCATCGTGGGGGCCTTTCTATTACTCAAATCGGCAAATGTTACAAGTAAGAGCCTCCCTCCCCTTTATCACCATCACTTCATTAGAACAGGTCAGCAGATGGTGGGGTTTGCCACCGCAGGCCCAATCAGCAGGGGCCCCTGCTTATGAGGCTTTTTACAGAAGTGAGGGCTTGCTGTTGAACAGAAGAGCAAACCCCAGGCAGGTACAAAGCAGCTTAGGTGACACGAAACAATGCTGCCACAGTTCTGCTCACAGATGCTCAATGCTATCACCACCTTAAATGGGTCTGTTCTTTAACCCTCCAAGAGGGCTTATAACTTGTTCGTACCTCAGTGGTTAACAGGCAGGTCTCTGCCTGCATCACAGGGTGGTACAGCACTTTGTAGCTGTTTAACCTGGGCTATGTTAAATTCTCTGTGCCCTAGAGGAAGATAGCAATCACACTCACCTCATCAGGTTATCTAAGAATTACATGATTGAGAATTTCAGGGGAAAGGGGGAGGGTTTACAGGAACAAGTATAAAGGACACGTGGACAAAAACTAAAGGGGGTGGAAATGGAAGAGAGGTAGAGAGTACTGGGGTGGTGAGCTGGGATGGGAGTAAAAAACAGAAAACTGTACTTGAACAACAATTAAAGTAAATTTAAAAAAAAAGAATTACATGATTGATAAAAGTAAAGGACTGGTGGCAGTGCAGGGCACAGAAAAAATGCTCAATAAATGTGAGTTCTTGTAGATGCAATACATAATAGATGCAATAATGCAGCTCAGTGACTACAGTTTTGACGGATTAAAAACACTACTGCATACTTGAAAGTTGCTAAGAGAGACCTTAAAAGACCTCATCACTAAATAAAATCTTAAAAAAACAAAAAAACACCTGCCAGGTGTAACTTAGTGGACTGAGTGCAGACCTGTGAACCAAAGGATTGTGGTTCGATTCCCAGTCAGGGCACATGCCTGGGTTGCAGGCCAGTTCCCAGCAGGGGATGCGCAAGAGGCAACCATACATTGATATTTCTCTCCCTCTTTCCTTCCCTTCCCCTCTA